TCCTTCTAAGGATGTGTTCTTTACTGGACACTCCTGAGTTTCCTCCTCTTAACTAGCTGTGGCTTTCAATCATTTGTTGGCTGCCCCTCTCTTCCAGATATCTAAAGGCTGGGGTAACCCTGGGGTTCAAACCTTGCACCTTTGTTCCTCTGTAAGAGATTCATGCTTTGGGTGATTTCACTGAATCCCATGGTTTTAAATTGGATGCGGTGAAGTTTTCCAAGTTTGTATATCTTGTCCTGACTCATGCAGTTATCTGCTTAATGTCCAGCTCTACTTAAATCTCTTCTGGGTGTCTCAAACTTGTCCAAATCCAGATATGTGATTTTGTATTCCTCTTCCAAAAACAAACAAAAATTTAGTGATCCGAGTTTTTCTTTACCTCAGTAAACCACAACGCTACTGTCCCAGTTGCTTAAGTCAACAGTACCGGGCACCTTCTTGGTACGTTTCTTTGTCTCACATCTTCAGCAGATTCTGTAGATTCTGTGCAGGTTCTGCCACATTTTGAGCCACCTTCCGAAGCTGTGTCGGACACCTGCCATGCTGGGGTTATGGTGTCCATCCTCCAGGGTGGGTGTCGGAGGCAGGATGGAAGCATGGGTATGAGAGGTCAGAGCAGGAGAGAGATGAAGCTCTGTGGATCTGAGTTCGCAGCAGTGGGCTTGGGAACAGTGGTGGAGAGAGGTCGAGGGAGAATCACAGCGGGGCAACGCTAAGCCAAGGAGTTTGATGTATTGATGGCTAAGAAGAAAGCACTAACACATTTTTTAAAGCAGAGAATTTTGTTATCAGGAATAAACACTGTGAACATCATCCTTTATCAGATGGAGGAAAAACAGAATTTTGAGCCTTGTTTTATGACTTATAGAATGTATCAAATCTGACTGTAGAAAAGAGAGACTATTATACCAGACGAAGCACCCCTGAAAAAATATATTCAGATGCTGCACTGATTTGAAAAAACAAAAAACACAGCAAAGCCCGAGGGTTTCCTGAGGCAGGGAGGGGAGGGGCAGCGTCCTAAAGATTTCAAAGAAGAGGTAAATCCAGTGTTTGAAACTGGCGCTGAGCACTGGGTAGCTGGGAGGTAGGGTTCTTTTTAGTGAATTAGTCCAACCCTGAGGCCAAAGTCCCACAAAGACTGCACAAAGCAGAAAATTACCTGACCAGTTTCATTCGTGAATAGTGGCTTTATAAATCATAAGCAAACATTAAGAAATAGTCCAGCAGCTTATTAAAAGACAAATATTCACAAATCAACTTGGGTTTATTTTCATGGAATGCAAGAATGTTCAATATGTAATATAGTCATGTATTAATCATAGTAATAGACCTGCGGAGAAAAACCTGGTAATTAAAGCCACAGATACTGACAAGATAGTTGGTGCAATTTAATAGCCAGTCTTGATTTTGAAAGAGAAAAAGGAGTGGAAGAACATGTGGGTACTCCTATAATTTAAAGTTGGTCTGCCTGGTCCCCAGATGCAACCTAATTTTCAATGGCCTGTGCTTTCCTTAGGATGAAAGACAAGAGAAGACAGTTTCATTTCTACCTAAAATTGTGTGGGAAGAACTAGCCAGCACGGTTAAGGAAACTGTGGACTCACGAGTGTAAAAATAGGAAAGATTGGGGTTAGATCACCACCTGTTGTACACTGTAAGTTTGTATACATGGCAAATTCAGGAACATAAAAATTTAAAACAATTATAAATAATAAAATACAACACTGTAGTAAAGCATAAGAATTAACACACAGGAAAGCATAACTTTCATATCTACAAAGTCAAAGTAGAAGATATGACTTATTTGAAATTGCTATAGCAGCCAAAATAGGGATTAACTTAATAAGGGAAACATGAGATCCACACGAAAACAAACTTTAAAATGCTGTAGAAGAACACAAGAGTTGAGTAAATGAAAAAGTGCATTATGTGCTGAGATTGGAAGACTCTAAAAAAAAGCCATCAGTTTTGCCCAAGTTAGTTTATAAAATTAACACAATACCAATAAAAAGGTGAGTGGGACCGGGCATGGTGGTTCACAACTGTAACTGCAGCACTCTGGAGACTGAGGTAGGAGGATTGCTGTGAGTTCAAGGCCACCCTGAACTATGTAGCAAGGCTCTGTCTCAAAAAAAAAAAAAAGTGAGTAGCATATTTTGATTTGGGTGTTTTTTGTTTTAAGAGGGTGGGAGAAGGAGGGAGAGAGCTGGAGAGGCTGAATCTAAAAGTTCTTCACTTGGGAAGGGAAGAGGAAGGAGTGCTGCCTTTTCCAGGTATGAATGCGAAGGCCAGGGGTCCCTTTCATGCGGCCCCGAGGGTACACAGCAGCAGAGCAGAACCTTACAAACAGAACCTATGCTCTAGAAACAGACCTAAGCCTGCATGGGATCAAGTTGGCCCCTGGAATCATTTGGGTGGGAATCTAGTCAGTGTAAAATGGTCTCCAAGCCAGTTCTTTATGCTACCTCCAAGTTAAGATCAAGACCCTTAACTGTGATCCAGGGTCTTAAATTTGCTACATGGTTGGATCACTTTAAACAGAAGGTGTAGAAGTGTTTGAGGGGGATTCTACTGGAGGTGGGCTTTAGGGGTAGGGCCTAGGGAGAGGCCTGTATAACAGAAGAAGCACACATGTTACCAAACACTTAGGCTACCAATGATTGTAAGTCAGCAGAGACATTTACAAAGAAAGGCATCTAACTTTCATTCAACACATAGTGAGACTCCTTTTTGTGCTTAGGATAGGAGTTCTTTCCCAAAATAAGAGTTGCTAATAGGCAAAAGTTAAGAACGTACAAATTAGAGAGCCTAAAAGACATCTGTTCCAGTTACTTACTCTGGTTAATTGTTCTAGAGTCATTACTCCAATGATCCTAATCCAAAACACCAAGTAGGACTCTACACTCTGTTTTATGGTATGAACAAAGGTATTTTGCTACTGATAGCCTCACATATCTTTGGTATTGAAAGTGGTAACAGTGTAGCAAGAAAAAAATTGTTCCAATTATTTCCAGTTGTTCTTGCAGTATCGTCTAAATAGTAAGCATGCTGCATGACAAAATGCTGTCAGCAAAGGCATTAGGAATTTCCAGAAGATACCTTTCACCTGTAAAGTTAAAGAATAAGTCATTGTTTTTTGTTTTAGTCTTGCCTTTTCTCCCCTTCCGTTGTCAGTGTATACCAGTTACAACCAAAGAGGTTATTCAGGTATTTGATGGGAATTCAGGTACAGGTGCCAAAATACTTCCTGGGGGCTGATGGGGAATTTCTCCAACTGCCACTGTCAGATGTTCTATTTGATGGCATGCTCACTGATTCTGGGAAATGTTCACAGAGGTCCAATTGTCCTAGAGAAATGACATCAGTTATGAATTACTCAATCCCCTGTATAAAATTCACCCCCAAAGAGATGCATTAGCTTGGAATTTTGGCAATAAATGGTTGGCGTCAGAGGTTGTGTTAAAAACCAAAATTTTCTTTTCTGTATCCTGTTGTTCTTTGAGCTGGTTGTGTTTGAGGCTGTCTTGAAGGAAATGTTTCAGCCCAAGGAGGACTTTGAAGAGGGGGGCAGTCCCCTTGCTGCTGTAACAGTACACGCAGGAGGCTCCCTGAACTTTGGGCAGCTTCCCCACCTGTCCAGGCTGGTGGCTCTGCCTCGCTGGCTGCAGCTGCTGCCCCGTGTAATTATTCACAGCATCCCTTTTCGTTCTCAGAGGTGTTCCGGCTCGGATAATAAGTTACACAGCAACCCTACCGAACTTGGAGGGGTATTGTGAGGCCAGAGTCCATTGATGTCTGAGAAACCCTTAGGGCGGAGCCTGGTACGAAGTACAGACTCGGAAGATCCTGATTACTTTTATTAAACTGCTTCATTTCTCAAACCAGACATCAAAGAAAATGGCTCAATAGACAATGTCTGTTTTTGTGAAAATTTGGCCACTCTCCCAATCGTCTTGTCTTTTATTCTACCCACGCAGAATTTCCTGCCTAAGGCAATGATGTTGGGAGGTTTTAGCAGCGTCTAACAATTTCCGGTTGTGGCAGTTTCACATGTCCTCTATATGAAGAACTTCCCTGGTGGTTACTCTAGTCAATTTGCAATGACTGTAGGACACCTGAGGACATTTCAGAACTTTCCCACAAATCATAGCTCATTTTCCATTAGACTCTCCCCTGCATTAGGTATTTTTGATAGTTGTTGCTGTCATTTTAATGATCTGGAAGCTGAGGTTCAGAAATACAAAGTTACTTTCTCAAAACTACAAGCAGAGAGTCTCAGGCTTACATTGCTTTCATTATAGCATGTTGGTTAAAGAAAAGGGAAAAAATCACTATATCACCCAGATTCCTTGTCGCTCACTGTGATTTCCTGTGTCATCTCTCATGCTTTGTCTGTTTTTCTGAGACAGGGTGTCAGTGCCTAGCCCAGGCAGAACTCACTATGTAGCCCAGAGTAGCCTCAGACTCACAGTGGTCCTCTCGCCTTAGCTTCCTGAGTGCTGGGATTACAGGTGTGCACCACCAGCCCTGGTTTCTCATGCCATCTTTGACTTGTCTAGCATTTATGCATTCTTTATCCTCCTTCACCCCCAAAACGTTAAGTGCTGCTTGAGCTCAGTGTGCAGACCTAACCCCTGGCCTAGGGTAGTTGAGAGTCTAGAAATGATGGCTCTGAATGTAATCCTTTCCTACTGGGTCTCTGTGAGTCACTGCAGGACACAGTGAAAACATAAAGGAGTCAATGGTGGCTCCCGGTCCTCAGTGAGCTGCAAGTTCTGGCACGCTGTTAGCACTCTGTAGCGTGGCAGGCAGGGATGGCATCCTCGGGTTCTGTCACGCCCAGGTCATGATGGATGCGGACCAATGCAGTGTCTCCGGTAACTCGCTCTGTCTAATCTGTGCACATCCTGTAACACTGTACATACCCTCCACTCTCCTCTACCTTCTCTTCCGGATGGAAGGAAAGCGCCTTTCGCTTCTTGTGCTCTGTGTTCCTGACATAGAGCTAAGCACCGGGCACAGAGAGAGCTCAGGGTCCAGTTACTATGCTCAGTGTCATGTTCTGCTACCATGCAAGGGGGTTTTGGTGACACCCACGACGTGGATGAGGAAACCACATCTGAGAGAGACTGAGTCACTTAAGATCCAATACCGAAAGAAGATCCCTCTTCTAAAAGAGCTTTATTATGGTAATATTTTATGTGTAACTCACATAAAATAAGCTATCTGTATTTAAAGTGTATAACTTAACAAGTTTTGACATGGATGGACACACAAGAGACAAGCACCATGATCAAAATGGCGGACACATCCACCATCCCCAGAAGTGCAACCAGGATTGCAGTGCAGATCCGTGACTCCAAAGTCCTTGTTCTTCCTCCAGTTACGGTTCTAAGAGGAACTGAGCTTTCTGCTCCAGTGCTTTCCTTCTAACACTTATTAATGGGGAATTTTGAAAGCTGAGGATAGAAAGGAAAAGAATGGATAAATAAATGTGGTACAGTACTGGATTGGGACACATCCTCCAGATGAGTGGTTGAATTATTAGCTCACAGAACTATGTGGATGTGTCTTGGAAACATAGTGGTATGTCAGAAACACTACAAAGAGCATGAAACTGCCTGAAAAGTAAAAACGTATCTCCATAGCTAAAGACATTGATATACACAGACATGCACACACATATGAGGAGGAAAGGATGGATGAACACAGAATTCAGGCTGGTGGTTCCCTCTGGAGAAGCAGGAGGTGGGATCCTGGAGGAGCACATGGGTAGGTGTGGGTACTAGCAGTCTCAGCTCATGGGCTGTGTGGTAAGTTATCAGATATTTTTATGTTATATATATTGCCCTCCAATTTACAATGCTAAAATGATTAAAAACAAACTACTGTACCAGTGCAAACATTTATGTTCTCATGAAGTAGCTTCATTATTTTGAGGAAAATGTGACTTCATAGAGGAAAGTGAAAAATCCAGACTTCCAATTCAGTGCGTACTAGGAAAGTTGAGAGCTCTTGACTACGGGATGCAGTTTGTGGTCAGGGAGAGAGGGGACAATTGAAGTTCTGTAATAACAAGCCTTGAACATCTCCCGCTGGCTCACACGCAGCTGCTGGTTGGGCCCTGTCTTGTGCCGCTGGGTAGATCCATTTCTGCCACCGACACATTTTATTCCTCTGCGAGGTTCATAGGCTGGATCCAGAAAGGACAGAAGTATGTTAAGGGTCTTACGTCGCAGTACACTAAAGGTAGAAGCCAAAAGAGGCTGGAGAAGTTTGGGTGCCTTCATAAAACTTTTCAGGATCCTGAAAACCAAGAGTCGGTGTAAGAGAGGTTTTGTTTGGGGAGGAAAAGCGACAAGGGCTAGAGTCCTCCAGACGGGACCGGAGTGTCCGTTGTGTCTTTCTAAATGGTGCTTTCCGCAGCCTCATCTGTTTTCCATCCACTTTCATGTGATAATTACTAAGGGCCGAGTTTAGCTTTGGTTATATTTCAGTTTTCTAGTTTTTAAAAGCAAAGGAAGTTAAAAAAAAAAAAAAAAGAGGGGCTAATCTGTGTTTCATGGTTAAGCCCACTTGAGGGTCACTTGGTTGTTCTGCCAGAGAAGCCACAGTTTAGGCCCCTTGCCCACCAGGCTAGAGCTTGTCCGGTTTCTAGAAAGGACCTGATAGTCTCTCAAATGCAAATCCAAAAGCCATAAAGTGGCTTCTGCTGCTGGCGGTGATGTCCCTTTGAAAATCAAGCAGTGTGGCATGGGAAATCCTTTGTGACTCTCCGTCCTTTCCTGGGCCGGGGTACAGAGCACTGCTGAATATTACTGACCAAGTGGCAGATATAAAAGCTGCATTTAAATTCTGAGCACAAGGCGCATTAAACCCAATATTTAAAAAGGAAGAAAAGTGAGTCTGTGGTGCAGAGGCACTGGCAGGAAGCACATCAGCATTGTTTGGCTCATTCTGTTCCCCACATGGGGAGACTGAATTGCTCAAACCGTATAGCTGGTAAGTGACAGGGCCGGGATATGGATGCTAGGACCCAACTCTGTCTGCCAACACCACTGCTGCCTTTTATAGGTTTTTTAAGGTTTGGTTCTTATTTATAGATAAACAATTTTACTTTTAGGTCAGAAGACCCAGTCATTTATTATAAACTTTGGCAAGTGGTCGTTTTATACTGTTACATAGCAGAGATTGTGGGATCGGTGCTGGGTTCTAGTTATAGCTTCCCACTTAGGAACTTTCCCAAAGTAAAATTAAAGTGACCCTCCTTCCCCAAGCCTCCATCTCCTCTTCATGAAGCAAGACCAACTCTGTGAGGATTAAACAAGATCAGCACTATGAAGCTTATAATCCAGGACAAGGCACATAGCAATTGACTACTAAATGGTGACCTTTCTGAAGATAAAATTCTGAAATAGCTTTCTGTGCAATTCTGAATAAAGCTTCTGATGATACTTACATAGTTCCTTGGAGGACAAATAAATAAAATATGTGTATACTACTTGTCTTAGTTACTTTTCCCTTTGCTGAGATGAAATACTTGATATCTAAAGTTAAAGGAGGAAAGGTTTACTTGGCTTACAGTTTGTAGAGGTTCAGTCCATAGTCACCTGGTTCCAAGGCAGGGTGGCACAGCAGAGGGGTATTGCAGAGGAGAAGCAGTTGATGGCAGGCAGAAGGTAGCAAGCACCAAGTGGTGAGCAACAGATTCTTCCTTCCCCTATATATTGTATCCAGGCTACCTCCCTTAGGGCAAGTAGCATCCTTAATCCTACCCAAAACTATGCCAAGCCAATCAGTGGGCTAATTTAGTAATCATACACCCTGTCTTGGTTACTTTTCTCTCATTGCTGGGCCAAAATACCTGACACCCAGAATTAAGGAAGGAAAAGTTTATTTAGCTTAAAGTTTGTGGAGGGTTCAGTCCATACTTGGCTGGCTGCAAGGCAGAGTGGCACATGGCAGAGGGCAACAGTTCATGGTGGTGGAACAGCAAAGCAACAAGAGCAAAGGGAGGAGTGGTGGCAGGCAGCCTCTTTCCCTCCCTTACACTGTATGCAAAACTACCTGCCCCATGGTAGGTGTAGCACTCACACCCATAATCTCAGCCTTAGACCATGGGTGGATCATAAACTCTAGAAGCCTGCCCCCCATGACTGCATGAGGCTTTGGGGGGACATTCAGACACAAACCATAATACACTCACTCTAGATCCTGCTACCTATGAAGATCCCCACCTATGACCACATGAGGCTTTAGGGGGACATCTAAAAAAAAAAAAAGCAAAAAAAATAAAGCAGGAAAGGGGGCTATAACATTGGGGAGAAGTTGAAACAGGTTCTTTCTTCTTCATCTCCAGAGTAAAAGGACTGTTGAGTAAATTCTCGAGGTAGAGAGGACCTGCCTGGGCAGTTGTGTAAAGGAGGGTGGGGACAGCAAGCACCATGGCCTCAAGGCAGAAGCATACATTGAATGTACAAGGGAGAGCCTGGAGGGTGATGTGGTTGGAGAGAGAACAGCAGGCCAGGTGGTGGATCAAGTGGCATTTTGCAGATCAGAGTAGGGACTTGGAAGGCAGCAGTGGGCAGAGGAGCAACATAATCTGACTTACATTGTACATGATCTCTTTGTGCTGTGTTCAGAATAGACTACTGGGAGGGAAGGGGTAGGGGACAGCAGCCAGCCATGGCAGAAGCATGCAGACCAGTGAAGAACCCAGAGTGCGCTCATACTGTGATAGTTTTCTATCACTATAACAAATACCAGAAATAATCAACATATAATGAGAAAAGCTTTATTTTGGATCACAGTTGAGGGGGTTCAGTCCATGGTCTTTTGGGCCCATGTTTATTTGCGCTGTGCTGGGACAGCACATCATGGTGAGAGTTAGGGCTACTGCAAAACCACCCGGGGGGCCTGGCCAGGGTACAACACAGAAAGGAGGGGAACAGGGTCCCATTCTCCCCTTTGAGGGCAACTTGCCTCCACTTCACCTAGAAACCTCCTATCAGGTCCTTTCCCCTAAGGGCTCCACCAAGTAGGGGAATAAGTCTCCAACACATGCGCCATTGGAGGCCACTTGAGATCCAAATCACAGAACACACATACCTTTGGGAATCATGATGCCTTGTGCCATTGAGATGTGGCAGGTTCTTCCTGTGGCAGGAGGAATGGGAGTTGTGTCATTCTGAGTGTCCTCCATCCTGGCTTTTCCTGTGGTAAACTGTGGTACTGTCTAACAGTCATCTCTGAATATAACTCTCCCTGAGCCCTGCTTGTCTGCCGAATTTTCTTGCCAGAGAAGCAAGCCCTTTATAAACGGATTTTCTTTGTCTATTGTCATGCTGTAGCAATCCCTGGTGTTTGTCCCATGGCAACCAGGACTACAAGGAAGTGCTGTTTCATTGTGAAAGGTATCGCTTCTACATTATCAGCCAACTAAAAGAAAAGTAGGCCAGTGGGGCCAGGAGCACCGTCAAGATGCTTTTGAAACACATAGCAGGGCTTCCCAAGGCGCTCTTGGCGATCACAACATCACCAAGAAATGGAGCCCTCACTGCAGAGGTCTCTGCTGTGTTCCTGGTCAGCCTGGAGCTTCCCTTTTCCTCTTTTTAAGCCTTCTTCATTAAGATTTGCTTCTTTCTGCTTTCAATTTTTATGCTGTATTTCAAGGTTTCTTGAAAAATTATTTCTATGTATATATCTTACAAAATGAGAGTAACCTTCTAAATTACTAGATTAAGATTCAGCCTCAGACAGATGACTTCTATACAAATTGCCATGAAATTCTCAAATAAAATTAATTTTAATTAGCATGTGTGCCTTATGAATAGAGAATATGTGTTATGAATCAAATTTAACAGTGGTATCATAGCTGCAAAGAAACCGGAAGTAATCAATTTGCGTCAGTGGGGCTTAGCTGCTGCTGCTTCAGAAATCCCTTGGATTGTCTTACAAAGATCTGTGTGAGTTATAACCATTTATCCAGAATCAGATCAAATTTGAATGGATAGAGTGGAATTTAGTGTCATAATAAGATTTCCATAATATATACTCAGTTTGAAAATTGACTATATTTTCCCATTTCCTAACAATCATTTCAGATGTCCCCTAGGTGAGAAAACTAGATGATCATTTTATATGTTTATTTTATTTTATTATAAGTTTATTTATATACTTTTATATTTATATGACTAGCACGTTCTTGCCCCTAATGCCTAGTAGTTGGACACTACATGGGCGGTGTAGCCCCACTTTTGCCGCAAAACAAACATCAAGGTTTTGGAACAGATTCCAGTCTTTGGATTCTTAGTCTGGAGGCTTATCTCTGTAGTTTTTTGAGATTTGTGAAGCTCTTTTTGAGGTTTGTGGAGTCTGAGATTTGTGGAGCTCTTTTTGAGATTTGCAGAGCAATTGTAGAATAAATACAGATATTTTCCAGCAAGATAAATTTAGTAGCGGTCAACAGTGTTCCAGGGTTCTTGTGTCTGAGCTCCACAACATCTGCATTTCCGCACATTTTTTTCTATGTGCCCTCTTGGAAGCTTGCCTTACACCCAGAAAGGCCTCCAAATGAAGTTGGTACCTTGGTTCACCAACTTCATTTCTTCTGTGATCTTGGAAAGGGTCATGTTTGTGTTTGTGTGGGAAGGCTAGCCACTGTTGCCTTTGTCGCCAGATGCAGTTTGCAAACAAAAGCAAAATTTTGCCAAATGCTCTTGTTTGCAAACAGAAGTGTTTGTGAACCGAGGTACCACTGTGTATGTCTTTTAAAGATAGATAAATCCTCATGCACATAAGTAAGTCAAAGAGAACAGAGTATGATTTCCTTCATAGCAAGTTCAAACACAGGCAGTACGAACCTGTGGTGTGAGAAGTCTCAAAAGCAGTTACCCTTGTTTGGAGTTTACCAGCTGGGAGAGGGTTGTATAGATCTAGTGGCTGGTTATTCCCTTTGGGAAGATTTATTGACTTTATTCTGCAGTATTATTCTTAAATGCTTTACTTTCATGAGTGACAGTTCAGTTTCAATGCTTTTGACTTGAAGTGCAGTTCTTACACATTTACTGTATGTCATAAGCTGCTATTTCCCCAGCAAAGCCAGTTAACCCTTTTTGGTTGTTCCTGAGCATGTTGCATTTATTTTGAGTTCTTGCCATTTCCTTGTCGCAGGATCAGCTACCGTGGAGCCATGGTAAAGTCCCTCACAAAATGCTTGCAACACAACTTTAGTGCTTGCAGGGTTTGTTTGTTTTTAAAGAGAATAATAAAGAATAACAAAAGAATAACAGCATAGACAAAAATAAAACAACACAAAAAAGTAAAAATGATACAGGGTTTCAAAACAAAATGATAGGAGTGAACAGCGGTTGTTATATTACATATCGATATCTTCAACAAAGTTGCTCAGATTGCCGGATGTAAGAATGCAAGCTTGAGCAATTAAAGAGAATAAAAACTAATATAAAAAACATTAGAAACGATACAGAACTTCACTAGACAAGATGGTAGGAATTCACCAATGGTTGTTATATTGCATATTGTTGTCTTCAAATTACTTGTTCAGATTACCAGACATAAGTATGCAAAATTGGTGAAAAAAATTAAGCATTAACTTTTCCTTTTAATAAGCCAATAGACATCAGCAGTACAATTTTCCCAGCTATCCTTGTATAGACATACATTTTTTCCCCTTCTATCTTTCTTTTTCTCCTTTCCCTCATCCCAGTTGTTCCTTCCTTTGAGCAATTCCTATATTAGTGCTTATAGTTTGTAAGGTGTCATGGGGATAAGGTATGGGTGAAGGACTGTTCAGTTAGGGTATTAATCTGTATCAAAACAGGCACTGCTAGAAATGTTTTCATGAAATTCTGATAAAGCCCAGAGCATAGCTTTCGTCAGCTTCTTATAACTTAACAATTTCACACTGATTTTTTTCCCTATATAGGTGGTTTCAGAAAAGCACAAATAGTTGAACAATAGCTCTATCATTTTTGAAATGGTCCTTGAGGTCAGAGGATAAAGAAAGTAAGATTGAGGCTGGAAATTACTTTGAGGAAAACATAATTTCAATAAAAATGGAACCTGATAGCCGCAGCTGTGTTTCTCTAGCTAACAGTAGACTAAACCTGTAAGTTTTCTGACCATGGCAAAGATAGGAAAAACTGGAAGAATGTAAAAGATCTTGTGAGTCAGCAAGACCTTCTGCAACCCTCACAGTTTATAGACCGAGACCAGGGGGAATCATGTGTATTACAGGTCATGCTCAAGAGAATAAGCAGTTTTCTCCCAGACCATTGCTTCTCTTCTTAAATGTGATCAACTCTTTGGCTTTCTTGAAAACAGTCTAATTGTAAAAATAAAATGGCTCTTTAATTGCACCTGCCAGCTATTTACACACAGTGGCTTCTTTTTCCTTTGCAGTGTTCTGTTTCTTCATCAGAGGATGAAAGACATATTGGCATCAGGAGACCAAAAACTCCAACCTCAGGTGACTTTTCGGACCTTAATACTCAGACAAACTGGACCAAGTCACTGCCCCTGCCAACGCCGGAAGAGAAGATGCGACAGCAAGCCCAGACGGTCCAGGCCGATGTGGTTCCTATTAATGTCACTGGTACGCTCCTGGGGCAGATGCTCCTTGGGAGAATGACTGTGGCTTTTGGTTTGTTATGCTCTTAGTGTTGATTTCCACATCAAAGGGAATAGCTCTGCTCCTGCTCCTGCTCTTTGTTTAATGGAGGGAATGCCAAAGCTGCCTTACTGATGCACAGATAAGATAGCTGTTGCTTGTTGGTCAGAAGACTGTTGTCACCAAAGATTGATGTCAAGGAACTTGATGATTCAAGCATTTATTGAAAGCATGGCTTTTTTTTTTTTTTGTAAACTGAATTACTTTTAAATAAGATTTTGGTTGTAGAGGGACATTTTCTAAACATGGTCCTGGGTATAAAAAACTATATATTCCCTTCATAAGGGTTACTTTAAGTAAGATTTGTAGAAGTGAAGAAATAATTATTTTGTCATGTTGCTGACAGATTTTTTTTACCTTATTGTTTTCTCAAGTAGAAAAAGGGGGGAAAAAAGAAAAAGAAAAAGGGAAAAATTATTGAAATAAAAATATCAAGAGGATGAATAACTATAAAAATATTCTTAAAAATCTTAATAAGGTGGTCATTTTATATTTTGATTTCTATAATTTCAGCTCCACAGTCTTCAAATAAAAATTTATCCTGTACAGAATAAACAATTTCTGAATATGTTATGTTAAGTAGGAATGTATTTGAGTATTATCAAATTTGAAATTATGGAATTTTATACTCAGCCTTCAATCATTTGTGATAATTCAGGTGGCAAGCACCAAGATATGTAAAGCTCAGAGCTGATTGTTTACAGACCCAGACGAGCTATTGCCAGGCATGGTGCTCATGCCTGTAATCCCAGCACTCGGGAAGCTGAGGCAGGGTTCGAGGCTAACCTGGACTAAAACAAAACAAAAAAGAGCTATTAAAAAGACACTGAAAATGTGCCTGTTTTATCACTTTTCTAGCTCTAGCCTACACGGAGAAATTGGCCAGTGGTTTGGGGAAGGTACAAAGGGCAAGACAGGTGTGCTAAGCGTTAATAAGGGCTGGGTAAGGTAGAAGGAGAATAATAAGGACTGGAATATGGTCATCCTGTGCAAGGCCCCACTGTCAATCCCCAGAACCAAATCAAACAAACAAACAAATGAGTTAATAGTTTAAACCATTTGACTGTGTGTTCTATAGAAAAAGATGACCAATAGTCATCCCTGGTGATCAGTCAAATTCAGTGAACAAAAAGGTTGATTTTTGTGAACAATCAGAATGAAACCCCATAGCATCCTTGCTATCTTTCAAGGCCACTGCTGTATAGAAAGCTTTCTGCCAGGGCATTGGTAGCTGGTAAGAACTAAGGATATCTTGAAGATTTTTTTAAAAACCTTAACAGGATATTTGGAAATTATGTTTAGAACTCTTTGAATTCTCGGCAAAGTTAGTAAGTACATAAATTTTTTCTATTTCATTTATATTTATTTTACTTAAACCTTAAAGAAATAGTGTGGCATTTTAATCCATTGACTTTGTAAATGGCACGTTTGTTCTTCATGAATGCCCCCTTCACCTAGCTCATATTTTTTAAAGATTATTTTTACAAGTAGATATGTTTTAATATGTGGTATAGCATTTATTGCTTGATGAAATACACAGGCATATATTTTCCACAAGAGAATAAATTACATTATTTGATTGATTAAATGCAGAAGTATAATTACATTATATATGATTAAATGCTTCAGAAAGAGTATTATGAGGTAAGAATATTGTACTATGAAATATGATAACCCTTAGTGGAATTATAGTGAAGCACATTGTCTTGTGATTAGGAGATTTAAAATAGAGTAACTAGCATTTCGGGAGTACAGAATTATTTACAGTGAAATACATCATCAACATAGAAGACAGTGAAAATTAAAAATTAAAAAAAATAGAAGGCAGCATTATATCTTTGAGTTTTCATTCTCTCCAGTTTGATAACTAAATGGATATGAATGACATAATATTTACATGTCACCCAGGGAAGATGCCTGGCCGTAAAGAAAGGAGCAGATGAGTTATGTCAAAATGTAATTTACTTCTAATTAAGTGACTAACATTTTGTAGAAATACCAAAATTAAATATACCTAATAGTATACATATTACTCTGTTTTAGGGATCTCTGTGTTCACACACACACATATTTTTTAAATGATTAGTTTTTCTAATCTGGTGTAAAGAAGCAATAAAATAAAAAAATTCCCCTTTTGATAGTTGAACTGGAACAGGTTATACAATTTCCTGTTCTTTAAATTATGTATTTCTAGGGCTGGGGATTTAGCTCAGCAGCACAGCGTCTGCCTAGCAAGTGCGAGGTCGTGAGTTCGATTCCCAGTACTGGAAAAAACAAAACAAAACAAAAAAAAAACCTAAATTATGTATTTCTAAAGTTGTAGTAGATCTTAGGCATAAAAAAATGTAGAGTAGGAAACTGTCCTGTACTTGTAAGCTTTACCCTCCGGTCTGGTTATTAGTAAGCCTCACCAGGGAGAAGATTTGCCCATAAATATATGGTTTCAAATGCAGAGTGAAGCCCACCCGGCCTAGAGGCGTAGAACATCGCTGCAGTGAGCTACTGGCTAGAAAATGGATTTAATCCCTTTAGTTGTAAGGACTAAACACAAGGACTTGACATGTTCTAAAAGTTAAGGAGCAAACACAAGTTTAAAATAAAAAGTACATATGAACATGTTCTGTATCCTGCCTTGTGGGATAACAGCTGTCCCACCTGGAGATGAGCAGAGTAAGTAAACAGGCTTAAACGAGTTTTACAAACTGGCTAGTGTTTGAGCTACCTTATTTCTAAGTGGTAACCATGACAACCAGTGCCATTTTTCAGTGAAAGACTAATTCAGTTCAACAGATGTTTACTGAGTAACTGCTTTGTACAAGGTATTAGGTGAGTGCCAAAAGGAATCCTAAGGAACATCACTTATGGTCTTTAACCTCAAAAAATGTCTAGTCCAGCAGCTGAGATAGTGCTTTTATTTTTTATATTTCTTTATTTGTTTGTTGCTTGAGACAGGATCTTGCTGTGTAGTTCAGGCTGGTTTTGAATTTACTATGTAATCCGGACCAGCCTGGAACTCATGGTGACCCTCCTGCTTCAGCCTCCCAAGTGCTGGGATTACAGGTGCACACCACCACGCCCAGCTGAGATAGTCCTTTTAGATTGTGATGCAAAATGGAGAATTTAATGCTTTTAATGGCGAATGTTGTAGCTGCTCATCCTTATATGGTTTGTTTCTTCATTTCCTTGGAACTTGAGTGGATTTGTTTTTGGTTTTTGTTATGGAAGTGAAACTGGAGACTAAACGCAGCTTTCTGCTGATGTATTGTCCATTTTGATGTCTTGACAGGGAATGTTTTTTTCTGCTGCTACAGGAAACTAATGAACCAGTAAAGTCATACTTGCCCCCTTTAAGTCTTATGTACACTGTTGCACATACCCATTCATCACAGCAGTGGTACCTTCTGATATTTCAGGCTCAAGTATTTCTACTATTTTCCACTTGAGACGAAATTGCAAGAATTTGCAAGGTTGCAAGCATTTATTTGAGTCTGTTCCTCCTAGGAGAAATGTGTTTGGATCATTCAGATCTTTTTTTCCTGTTTCAGTTAGATAAGGTTCACAATTTACCACTATCAAAACAGAACTTACATGGTCCACAGCAGAGCCATCATGAATGTGTATCATTATTGCTAAAAGAGTGACTATTTCAGGGCCAGGGATATAGCTCAGAGGCACAAAGCCTGCCTGGCAAGCTCGAGTTTGTGAGTTCGATTCCCGGTACCAAAAAAAGAAAAAAAAAAAGAGTGACTGTTTTATACTTTCCTTGTGCATAGGAATGATGGAAATATGTGATTTTTTGGTATTTGTTGGGGAAGAATAGCAACGTAAAATAGTCAACAGTGTAAACTTCCTTAATTGAACTAGTGAATAATTTAAGGCAGACCAATCAGTAACTTGCACTGCTACAAATGTTATTATTTTATGGTTCCCCGTGATGTGTTAATCACGCAGGCTTACACTCAAGGAAGGAAGAGAAGTCCTGTGGGTGTGACCTCAGGTTTGATTGCAACATGATTTGAAATGACTGAGTTAAGATTAACATTAAATGGCCGGGCATGGCGGTGCATTCTTGTAATCCCAGCACTTGGGAGGCTGAGGCTGAGGCAGGAGGATCATTGTGAGTTCAAGACTGGCCTGGGCTACAGAGTGAGCTCAAGGCCAGTCTGAACTGCATAGTGAGACGCTGTCTCAAAAAGACACATACACAAGAAAAGATGAACATTAAATTGTGGTCATGAAACAGAAGCAGTTCATCTTTGATAAGAACGGTGCTATGGTGTCTCACCATGACCAAAGTACTCTGTCATTAGAAGGCTCTTCCTTTTCCAGTACAGTTGTATCTCGCCCTACAACGATTCCCACAGTTAGTGCATACTGGTGGCCTTCTTGGTTAAGGAAAAAGCTCTGGATCTTGATGAAATTATTTGTTTTATCGCAAGACCAGATAGGAGATTGGCCACTGTGGGATGACCAGGCGAACAAAACGTACTTCTCACCCTCACCACAGACAGACAGGGTGACGTCAAGAGTGATGCTGGTGAGTGGAGACCTATGTGAAACACTTCCAAACCACTGCATTTTTTAAACAACAGAACCGCTCTTCTGGTGTGTTAATAACAAATTCCCATTTGTTCTTCTGGCTTGTGAGAAAAAGAGATCGAGGTGCGTCCCTTCGAAGGACACACACCCAGAAATTGGAGAGCTGCCTTCTGATGATAATGTGCATTCCTTCCTTTTACGCCCTTCAGCATTCCTCATCATGTGACTGGCTAACATCATTATTAATCCCTTCTTATCATATTACAAGCTTCTGGAAGAAAGTGCATGGTGTCAGCTTGCTTGAAAATAACATTGCTTTGCTTGTTCTACTACTCTATATTAGGGGAGAATTTCGATCGCCAGGCCAGCCTTCGGCGGTCTGTCATTTACACAGACACTCTGGTAAGACGACCGAAGAAAGTCAAAAGGAGAAAGACTATTACAGGAGTCCCTGACAACATACAGAAGGAGCTAGGTATGGCTCTTCAGAACTGCGTTTTCGCCCCTCCTTGCTGCCCGGCATTACTCTGCTAACCTCATGTGGTGCTTAGAAAATCCATACATTCTCATAGCCAGCTTCTTTCCTGACAGCGTGTGAGGTGCAAATCCTACATCCCATGCAGGTCACTCACCATGTTTGGGGAGACTGGAGGAGGAACAGCCGATGTGAAAACTGTTAACTGGAGTGACAGAAATTGGGATTCTGTCATCTCTAGGCACCTTGAACATTGGTTATTTCCACAATTAAATTTACTTTTCATTTTGATCTTGGGTTCTCATGAGCTAAAGCCTTATTCTAGGACTCCCCATTATGAGTGAGGCCCTCCATAGTGACACTGACAATACTGATGGCATTCTGTCATGAAGCTACAGCCTGGGATTATTGGTAAATGTCAGTGTGACAGAAAATGATCATTTATGTCAGATAACATTATTATTTTCAGTGAAATAATTTCATACCTTTTTTCTTCAGTAGTTTCCAATCTGTGATCAAACAGAAAAAAATAAGATATTGGGGCTGGTAGAGAAGGTTGTTAACTCACTGTTCTCCAGCCATCATGGTCGTGCTTGCGTTTCCGCATGCTTTGGGTAACCCATTCGCCTTCCTCTGCGATGCCTTCCTCTCCCTGTTCTTGGGGCAGCATAGCTCAGCTCCTGGGTGACCTTGGTCAGGTCACCTTACCTCTCCAGGTCTGCTTCCTCATTCCCAAATGGGATGGTGATGGTACTAGAACCTACCTGATAGGGTCATTTGAGACTGAATGAAATTATACCCACGATGTGCTTAGTACCTGGTATTATCACAAATATAGTGAGCTACTGTTGTCATTATTTGGGACGTGGGTACTGGGCATCACACTCAGGACCTCATGCTTGCTAGGCAGGCACTGAGCCACTGAACTATATCCCTGGCCCCTGTTATCATTGCTACAGAGAACATAATGCTACCTGTTTTGACATTTGTCTCTTCCTCTTTTGCTAACCAGTGGACTTATTTCTACCTGGTGTTATTTACTTGTCTTTGCTGTTAAAGACTTCACTCCAGACACTCAGTCATTACTGTATTCCTGAAATTGCATACTAGTTTTTTAGTAAGCAAAACAGGCTTATCCTAGCAATAATGAAGACTCTATCATAGCCCCCTGAGGTAGTGCTTCAGCCTCGTGTACCACAGACATTTTACCTGTCTTCTTTTTCCCATCACCGTTGCTTAAATGTCCTGTATGAGGGGAGGCAGACTCACTCTCCTTTACCTGGCAGTTGTGCTTTTACTCCCATGCACTCCTACAGTAGCCATGCTGTGCTTTCTAGACTGAAGCAGCGTTCTGCCATGGGTAGCTCCTGCGACCCAGATGGAAGACGGGACCTGTCCTCTTCTGTAGCAGGACAACTGGTTAGAAGGAAAGGCAGGACCATCCCCATCCACAGGACGTGTGAAGTCTGTCCGTGGCTCAGGGCCCACACGCTGCTCCTCCGGCTGCCTGAGGCTTCTGGTAACTTCCTTAAACCTTGGCCTTGGTCACACTCGGTACACTTTCCTCTCTCCTCAAAATGTCTCATTCTTTCAGACTCTTTTCCTCCTTACTGAGGTGACAGCTACTGAATCTGAGAAATTAATCTGTATGCACCTGCTGAGAAGGTGTATCATGGGCTGATTTCTTATAGTAACTGGGAATATCTATACTTTGGTCTTTTGAGAAGAAATGTTTTCATGAAAGGTGTGATTGTAAGGACAGGCAATTAGGCCCTTTGTAGGAAAACAAGGTTGAAGTTTTGAGGAAAGCTACATTTTAAGTGGCTCTCCAAGCAGAATAAGTAGGTTCTACATGATTTTGTGCAGAGTATAAGCCTAGTTTAGCCCGTATTCAATATGACTTTTTCATGCACATATGTAATATGAAGCCTAGAACCTGAGAGTTAGGGACATTTATTTTTTTTTATTTTTTTTTTTGTTGTTGTTGTTTTTCTCCGGTACCGGGAACCGAACTCACGACCTTGCGCTTGCCAAGCAGGCGCTTTGCCGCTGAGCTAAATCCCCAGCCCTGGGACATTTATTATTGAACCAACCAGTATGGAGCCAATAATCCAACTATTCTTTTCATCATACTGAAATGACCTGTCCAGCTAGGTAAATCATACCTGCTGCAATTTTAATATTTTCAAAATCAGTGATTGCATCTCTGGAACCCATGTTTGTTTCTCTTTTGCCTATGATATGGTACTACCACTGCTGCTGGAGGAGAGAAAATAGCTTTCCCTACATCACTTGTGTTGGTACCTCTGGCAGACAAGGGACAGCCAGTGTCATTGCATAGTTAATGACATGACCAGGATGACAGCTGGAGGGTCACTGAGACAACTGTATCTATGTTAGAGCTGGTTAAAAAAAAAGAAATAGGCAATTAAACAAGGACTCCGTTTTACAGAAAGGCTGGTTTGAGGTTTGTTGGATAGAATGAGGGAAGTAACATGAATACAGTTCTATTTAACAAAAAATAATTGAGTTATATACTTGCCCTATCCTTTCAAGATTTTTGGTTGACCTTGCAATTTCTCTCCATATTTTGTACTTAGAAAGATTTGGGTTTCAAAGTCTGTGCTACCTAATGATTACCAACAATAGACACTTCAATTTCCTTTCAAATTAGTCTTCCTTGGGGATAGGGATATAGTTCAGTGGCACGGTGCCTGCCTGGCAGGTGCAAGGTCCTGAGTTCGCTTGCCGGTTTCAAAAAAAAAAAATTAGTCTTCCTTTAGAAACAACAGGTTGGGAAGGATGACTGAGTCAATCCAGTTAGACAAAAGGGAAAAAGGTTCTCTGAAGGAAACACAGTCACTGGGGCACACCCTCTCGGTCAGACACTGTTCACACTGTCAGGGGTTTAGATTTTAAAACTCCAGCCATATAGAAATGCTTCCATTCCATTGTGCTTAACTATGTGTAGTTTTAACTGAAAATCCATAAATTATAGACTCTGGAGACTAGCCAACATATCGTGCTTTTTAAAACCAAGGCAGGATACTTGACGTTTGTTCCAAGAGTGTCTGTTGACTTCTAATTTGTTGCCTTCCCTTTAAGTGGCTTGGACAAACTTTCCATTTCCCTTTATTTTTAAGACTACATGGAATTGAGTGTGAACTTCATGCTGTGAGACTTTATCTTTTAGGATCAGACAGGGTTATTTTGTTGGTATATGATTATAGTTGGCTCTTAAACTTTATACATATTTCCAAAGCAGGACCTTAAAGGAATCCCTTTAGCCAGGCATGGTGGTGCATGCCTGTAATCCCAGCACTCAGGAGGCTGAGGCAGGAGGATCCTTGCAAGTTTGAGACCAACCTGGGCTACAAAGTGAGCTCATGGCTGGTCTGAACTGCATAATGAGATCCTGTCTCAAAAAGATAAATAAAGTAAAATAAAACAAAATAAAGGAATCCCTTTATGAATTAAGATGTGTTATGTACATGTACCAACTATACACAAGGAAGGTAAACATGTGCTACACACATGTACTAATAGATTTTTTAAAATTTTAAAAAAGAAATACAATGAGTCATACAGTAAAAAAACTAACATTACTGAAGGCACAAGATTTATTTATTTATTTATGAATGAGGTAGGGTCTCACTATATAGTTCAGGATGGCTTTGAACTCACTAAGTAACCTAGGTTGGCCTTGAACTCAAAGCAATCCTCTTGCCTCAGCCTCCCAGTGCTAGGATTACAGGCATGAGCTAGAGCACATGGAGGTCCTGGGTTCAGTTCTCAGTACCAAACAAACAAAAACTAATTTGTAGATTTGTATCATCCTGAATTACATGTATTTTTTAGAAATCGGAAATCTTTTGTAGTATTATTAATAAAGGAAAAAATTATACATAGTTATATCTTTACATATGTTTTAAAATCACATAAATCTCATCAGGATTTCAGCAGAAGCTGAGCGGTCTGTGTGTGTTTATAGATCTCTTTCTGTGGTTAATTTATTCCTTATAGAATTTGCCAGTGTCCTGTGATATTGTGACACTTTTTATATTGTGACAGTATTGAAGGTTGTATTTTAGAAATAGAATTCTGTTGTTACCTTCTGGTAAGTTGTGTGTTAGTTGATTCTCATCTGTTTTTTAAGGTCTTTAAGAAAACTTTGTTGTTATTTTAAATAAGAAAATGTGTTCAGATATAGATGCCTATATTTTTATTTCCAGAAGCTTAGCATAAATGCATACTCAAAATACACATACCAGCTCCCCACAAGAAATGTAAATGTCGTATACTACGAACATGCACTAATAAGAAAAAATAAGGGAAGACTGTTTAATAGGACAAAAAGAAAAAATGTCATTACCCAAAAGTATGAGGATTTATTTATGGCTCTTAGACAGCGGCAGTTAAAAATCTACTATGCACCCATGCAACAATCACTGCCGTTTTGAAAGAAAAACACATGAAGACCCATTGTTGAACAGAATGAGGCATCTCGAATGCTTGGCATGAAGCTAATGCTGTACAAGTCAGCCTCTCATTCCCAGGTTACCAAGTGGCAGGAACTCCCCCCTTCTGTTTTGCTTTCTTCAAAGTGGATTTTTTTTCCTGCTCTGCCTCTTTGCCCATTTTCCCTTTCTGAGCCAGTCCCGCGAGCGTGTGTGTGTGTGTGTGTGTGTGTGTGTGTGTGTGTGTGTGTGTTCTATGAGTGCTTGCAAGGGTAGAGAAAGGAAATAGAGCCTCTTTGCTAAGGACACAGCATAATCATGCTTGTCCCTGGTCACAGGGAAGGGAAGTGCTGTATATGGGGGGCTTTCCTTGTGGAGTGACATCTCTGAGGTACAAAGAAGCACGCTGCTACCATTTTAGTAATACCCTTTGCTATTATGGTGAGAAAAAGGCCTCACATGCAGTCAGGGACAGGTGCCACACGGAGAAATGGGGACCGAGGGAAGCCTTAGGATGCCTATCCGTACAGTGCCTTGTCCCAGTATCCAGAGGCTCAGGTGATATCATTCAGCAAAGCCAGTGCCCAAGATCCTTTCTTTCTGTTAATTTTCAAAGGGTATCCAATGCCTTGTAATTTGTTGTCTTCCATTTAAATGAAGGAGACAAAATTATAATCTTTTTGTTTAAGCAAAAGCCTACACAGAAATGAATCTGAGCATCATGTTATGAGGTTTCTTCTTTTAGACTCAGATAGAATACTTTTGTTGACATACAAGTATATTTGACTACTGTCCTTCCATATATTTCTTACTGGATGAAACCCACATGAAGAGAACCATGGTTCTGCTACTATTTTTAAAGGTTTAATTTGTCCTGAGGACTGATTTCATGTTCTCAGTACATTTTGGGGACATTCTTAGCTTTGTGATTTTTTTTTTTTTTTTAAGCTCTGTTCTTTTCCGGGTAGCATGAGATCTGTTTATCTATACTTAAGGTTTTGCTCATCCACTTCCCTCATTTTTTCCACTCCTCATGTTTCTTTCCTTTTAACATACTACTCTCTGTTTGGTTGTAAAACTCCAAGCAATGAATAAGCCTGATTTGAGGTGCTGTTCACTGGATCATTTCCTGACGCTGTTCCCCGTCCAGAACACAACAGATTGCTGTTGAATTTGAATGTCACAAACAGACAGACGATAATGGCTTAAGATGGATAATGAAATGTTTGAAACACAGATGGGCCTGTAAATCAATTTTCTTCCTCTTAGGATTTCCTTCTGACATTTAAAAAAAAAAAAAATCAATGTAATTAACACTATTTTATACCAGTAACCCTTGCAAATGGTATTTCTGTGACCCTATTATTGTTTGGGGGGAAAGTGGTCCCTGCTCGATAGCTGCTGTGTGCCTGGGCAAAAGTCTACCTTGAAGTCTTTCCTAAAAGCTGGTGATTTGAAAGGGAAATCCTGCACAGCTGTGTGCAGCACTCAAGCCATAGGAGGAGTTGAAGTACAAGTTAAGAAATATATACAAGTTTCATAAAATAAGGGTGATTATCTTAGGAGGCGTCAGGCGCTACTGAAACACAATTTGGTTTGTATGGGAAAGAAGAAACTGAATCAAGTAGAAAAGGTGTTTTTGTTTGTTTCTTTTAATCGTAACAGTCCGAAGGGGAAGTGGGCGCCGTGACGCTGTGGATTTCCATTTTCAGGTTAACACGCTTCTTTCTGCTTATTCTCCAGCATCGGCCACTGGCCAGGATGAGGCCGGTGGTTACTCAGGGTACCCTCCAGACCACTACTCCCCGCGCGGAAGGCTTGACAGCTATCACTCTGCTGGGCAGCGCTCGGAAACCAGGGATTCCAGCTGCCAGACCGAGGATGTGAGGGTTGTGCCGCCCTCCATGAGAAGAATCAGGGCCCACAAGGGGCTGGGCATCGCCGCTCAGATGAGCCCCTTCTCGGGCTCCTCCAGCAACATGTCTGTGCTGAGCGATCCAGCGGGGCTCGCGTTCCCTTCCCACCTCCACAGTGAGCCTGGCTTCCATAGTCTTCCACGTTCTGGTGTCAGGGCCAACGCTCACTCCCTGGGCACCCTGGGCCCCGCAGAAGATGTGGATGACCCATTCCCCTACTCACAAGGAGATGACAACTTGGGGCATTTAGGAGGCGCTGGAAGGTCGGGAACATTTTTGAGGCCCAAATCCCAGGAGCTGAGGCACTTTGACAGTGAGAACAGCATGACCAGTCCAGCATGTATGGTCTCTCCTCATGCGAGCTTCTCTACCAGCATCATCCCCAACGCTACCCTCTCATCCTCCTCGGACGTTATCATTCTTCACACCGCCCAGAGTGCGGGGCAGCTGGACAGCAGAATGGCCAGCTCATCTGCATACTCAAGGATGAAACCCAGAGACCACCTCCTCTCCAGACATGGTATAAGAGCTGACCACGCATCCCCTGGCCACCATTGGAGCGATGGCCATTCCTCCATCTACTCACAGCCCTTCGACTCTCCTTCCCCCAGTGTCACCACACTCCTGTCCGCCTGTGACCCAGAGGTCACTCCCAATGGACCCCAAGCCATGCACTATAATTGCAGAAACACCCTGAGTTTCCCAGCCCACCCCCAGGATGTGGATGGCAAGAGCGAGTCCAGCTCTTCTGGGAGCAGAGGGCAGGGTGGCGTGGAGCCATGGGAGTACAGGGCCTCCAGCAGCGGGCGGGCGTCCCCCTTGAAGCCCCATCTGGCTGCCCCTGGCTACTCCACTCCCACGAGTAACCAGAGCAGCTGCAGTTTGGACCAGACACCCATCAAAGAGGACGCGGGGTCCCTGTATTCTGAGGACCACGCTGGCTGCTACAGGTCTGCGCACAGTGACTCCGGATGTGGCTTTGGGAACCCCAGGCACAGTGTGGTCAATGTTTTTGATGGAAGAGTTCAGAAGGGCCAAGGGGGCCAGTCAGGGTACCATGATAAATCCCTTTCGAGAAACTTCTCCTTGAAGAAAGCCAAGAAGCCTCCCCTGCCGCCCTGTCGGACAGACTCTCTCCGCAGGATTCCCAAGAAGAGCGGCCAGTCAAACGGGCAGGTGCTCAACGAGAGCCTGATCGCCACACTCCAGCAGTCGCTGCAGCTGAGCCTCCCGGGCAAGGGTGGCAGCTCGGCCTCGCAGAGTCCCTGCAGTGACTTTGAGGAGCCCTGGCTGTCCCGCTCCCGGAGTCAGAGCACAGTCAGCGCTGGCAGCAGCATGACCTCCGCCACCACCCCCAATGTGTACTCCCTGAGCGGGGTCACGCCATCGCAGAGCGACTCGAGCAGCATCAGGTCGGAGTGCACAGACCCTTGGGGTTACTACATTGACTACACAGGTGTGCGGGAAGAGCCTGGGAACCCGGCAGGACGCTGCTCAGCCAGCGGTGGCGCCCCAACTGGGAATGGGCCGGTCCGCCACATCCAAGAGGCGTCCAGGGCCACAGTCCCCCAAGTGCCTGGTGGCTGCACCAAACCAAAGGTCACGTCGCCGGAGAAGTCCCAGAGAGTCACTTCTCCATCTAGTGGGTATTCCAGCCAGTCGAATACACCCACTGCACTCACCCCCGTGCCTGTGTTTCTAAAATCAGTGTCACCAGCCAATGGGAAGGGAAAGGCCAAGCCCAAGGTACCAGAAAGAAAGTCCTCTCTGATCTCCTCGGTGTCCATGTCCTCCTCGTCCACATCTCTGTCCTCTAACACATCCACTGAAGGCAGTGGCACAGTGAAGAAGCTGGACGCAGCCCCGGCCTTGCCCCTCGCTCCTCCTCCCCCCACTCCTCCTCTCCTAGCCCTGGGTCCTGCAGACAAGGCTCCCCTTCTTCCGGTGCTCCCCACTGCAGTGGATGGCACCGAGGGCTCCCCTCTGCCTCACTCGCCCGTGTTTCCCCCTCCGCCCCCGGAAGTGCTCCCCTTCTTCTGTTCCCCACCTGACGGGTGCCTCCCCTCTGCCCCCACAGCACTAAGCCCCTTTATTCCGGATGCACTGGCTTCCTCACCAGCACCCCCACCTTTCCCCCCCTCCTTGGAGCCCCCACCCGCTCCCCCACTGGACCCCACATTCATGAAAGTCACCAGGCCTTCTTGCAGAATCTCTGGGCAGCCCCAATCCTCCTGGGAGGCCTTGAGGCCACCTTCGAACAAAGAGGAGAGTGCCAGGCGCCCCATGCCCCTGATCACCACGGAGGCGCTGCAGATGGTGCAGCTGAGGCCCGTGAGAAAGGGCTCAGGGGCCGAAGTGGCCCCGTCGCCAGAACCAACAGCTCAGGAACAACGAACTCCAACTGCTCCACAATATCACTTAAAGCCATCTGCTCTCCTGAAATCCCGAAATAGCATAAATGAAATGGAGAGTGAAAGCCAGCCTGCCTCTGCGACTAGCTCGCTTCCGACGCCTGCCAAGAGCCCCAGCCAGGGTGACCGTGACAGTGCAGCCGAGCGTGCCGGCCTTGTGAGCCGCAGCCATGGAGCTCCATGTCCTGGGCCGGGCACTGAGGAGGCAGAGTCTGGGCCTGGCCTCAGGAGCACCCCACTCCCAGACACTTCACCCAGCAGGAAGCCACCCCCCCTCTCCAAGAAGCCCAAACTGTTCCTGGTGGTGCCACCTCCGCAGAGAGATTTTGCCACGGAGAATGTGAGTGAAGCCTTCCAAGCCGTGCCCAGCCCCACCAGGGCAGAGGAGCGCGCTGTGCACAGCGAAGAGGCCAAAGAGTGCTCTGCAGCTCGAGCTGGTTCTCATGCCACGGACCCCGGCAGCTCGGTTCTGGACGGAGGAGCTGCAGGGTTCGGGTCTCCCAGTAGAGTGGAAGCCGATGCCCCCATGGTACAGCCCAATGCCTCGCCGGCCCCCACGCAGGAAGAGCCAGCTGGGGACGGCGGGGGCGATGCGGGGTGCTGCCCTTCTCAACAGGACGGGGAAGGTAAGTCCAGCTTCTCTCTGGTGTGTCTCTCTCATCTGCAACTGCGCCAAATAGGGCAGCTGAGTGCTTCCCCATAGAACCCAGGTAGATCAGATTTATCCACATTAAAGCCAGCAGCATGTGGGCTTCTGCATGTAAGTTACAACTCTGCGTTTTGTGACATTTTTTTCCTTTCAAAATCCAGGTCTAAGGGAAGAGCTTACAGAGAGTTGGCAGAAAATAGGGAAATGGGGGTGGTTTTGTAGCAGGCTGGATATGAAATAGCAATGAGTAATCTCTCTCCTGAAACTGCAAAGAAATGTTCTGACAGCATTTAGGAGCAGCCCAGTCCAAGTTTTGTAGCAGACAGGAGTGGAGGGCTGGCCAGCAGGCTCGTGTCATTTCCCGCATCTTCGTAAAGCCAAGAACTACAGACCCCGCCGCACCCCATGTGGCTCTCAAATTGTCAGGGAATGGCAGGAAAGCAGCAGATTTGGGAGCCTGGCAAAGGACTGAAATTCTACTCACTGCGTCTCACTGCCTGCCCGCTTTCTTCTCCCTAGCTGGGGTGCAGGAGGCACACACAGCCGAGCCCTCCGCAGAAGCCTGTGACTTCTTCCACAAAGACGACAGTGAGGAGGTGACGACCCCCACGAGACCCAGGACCACGGAAGACCTTTTTGCCGCTATTCACAGGTATCCAGAGCTCCGCCCTCTACTTTCGTCTGCTTTAGAATTCCTTCTTTCCAAATGGTTCCTCTGTTTTCTTTTCTTGAGGTTTCTTCTGCTACCTAGCCGTGACTCATTAACTTTATTATGGATTTTTTTCTTCTATATTTCTGTGCTTTTATTTGCTCTGACTGCGACGTCTTTGTTCCACTAAACAGCGTCATAACTGACATAGGGGACAGAGGCAGGGTGGGATACCTTCTGGTAGGTACAGCGCTTGCTGGCCAGAAGCGCAGTATGTCAGTCATGTGACAGTGTTTACAGGGATCAGTTAGAGCAGCTGGTGAGCTGTCCAGCATGAGGGACTTAGATGCACAGATAGCTCTCCGGCACCCCTTCTTAAGGGTGTCTTAAGCACCCCCCCGCTGTGTTTTATAGAAAAAATACCCATAATTTTATGGTGCAGTTTTTTGAGTCCTTTGATATGTCAGTGAAGGCACATACATCTCTTTAAACCAGAGGAATTAAGTGTGCTTGCTACTGCAGGCCACTGCTGCCATCTGCTGGCATCTGAGATTGTTGGGTGGAAGAAAAAGTACTGACAGCGTCCATTTTTCATGAAGCACCTGAACTGTTACTGTTTTTGTATGTGCTCGCCTTAAAGAGGGAACATGGTCTAACACTGAGGCTTTATTTATTACACGTTGTCAGCAGCGGGTGCTCTCACTGCAGAGTCCCTGTGAAAATCGATAAGATTATGGATGTGCACATACGTTACTCCTGATGCTGTGCAATCCTTTTGCCTCTTTCTAGGTATGCCTCTATCAGTATTTTCAGATAGCTTTTATGAAGGCCTTTATGCTGCCAAGACGTTATTGTGCCAAGATTGAAGGCCCTTTCTTCCCTTTGGAAACAAAGCACCCTATAGAACCCTTTGATTCTTCTCTGTATAAATAACCTGTGTCGGCACTATCTCCTAATTCTTGGAATTTAATTGAAAACAAAACAAAAACAACTGTTTTATGGAGTGGAAAGTACGGTGCTGTTTCTACCCCATGCAACATATAAATATCTAACTTTGGGGAAAACCAAGCTGGCAAGTTGAGGTACTCACCAAGAATTCCATCTTCTTTGCTCTGGTATTGGTACATAGACCCTAAAGACTGTTCTCTTTAATGTTGTCTGATTGGTTTCTTTGATTTTTATCAGGCATAAAGATAGCCAGAGCTAGGCATGGTAGAGCATGTCTGCAGTACCATCACTAAGAGAGGCTGATGCAAGAGGATCTCAAGTTCAAATCCTGCTTGGGAAACTTAGAGAGACCTTGTCTCAAATAAATAAAAAAATAAGAAGGGAGTCTGGGGCTGTACAGTGGTGGAGCCCCCTACATCTGATCCCCAGTACTGGGAAAAAGAAAGTGGCTAGTCAGCTGTTTTCCAAAACAGAAAAATGAAGGGGTGTGTCTTCTGAAACCAAATTCAGTGGCATTTCTGGAAGTGCACATGGATGTTTCTAAGTTTATACATGCCAGACACATAATAAGCACCCAATAAATATTTCCTGAATTAAATGAAAACAATTGGAACTTAGCTGCTGAGAGATTCCTCCAGAACTCAGTCTTTCGTTGAGGATGAAGTGCACTGAGTTGCTAAGTATATAGGAATACATATTTACAATAGCAAGGCCACAGGGTTTTGTGTTGCCTGGTTGCTCCGTGTACTGAATACTTGGTCTCAAGGAAACCCAAAGGCTGCAGAGCCAAATTAGTGCACTGTTTTCCCAAAATAAGCCAGAGGTCGCTTCACTTGTGTGTTTTATTTTGGCAACCGTCAGAGGTCACAGAAGTATGTGTGTTTTCTCCGCGTAGATGGTTCCATGTTGTACAGATATTGAAATGGGCCAGTGTGTTATCCACTGCATGCACGGCAGCAAGGGAAAGTAGCCTTAGAATGTCCTGCAAGGGGAGAGCAAGGACCCGTGCTGATTTCTGTTGTAGCATTAGCAGCTGAAGTCAAACCCCGTCTGAACGCTGTGCTCTGTAGGGCTTTATTTTGACGTCGTTCAGCCCCTACGTTCGTAATTTAAAATGAATACCTAAATTGAAACCTAGCTTTCAAATCTTCTGATGCAAACGAGTTCACTTCAGATTTGAAGCCAGATGGAAAGTGTAGAGCGCCATGTGAGGTGTGAAGTTTTTATATTTATTGAAGTAATTAGTTTTTAAGCCAGTGTTAACTGTTTAAGTACTTTTTATGGCTGTCTTCTTTAGAAATACACACACACACACACACACACACACAGAGGCAGAGAATTCATGTTTAAATTTAATTCTCACTTTACCAACTGCTCTTGAGAAACAGCGATGCTCTGCTAAAATCTCGTCTTCTCTTTCAATTCTGTATCTGCAATTAAAGGCCACAGCTTTAAGCAAGTGTAGTTGTGGGTTGGTTTGTGTAGCAGCACACCATCCCCTCACCATTAAGAACCAAACAAAAAAAATTATGCCATGGGCAAATACCTGAAAGGCTGAGAGTAGCTGGTGTGCTCTAGAGGCACCAGCATCCATTGTGAGACCGTGTGTTATGAGCAGAAGAAATGCCACCAAGTCCTGGAGGTCCGACTGAGCAGCTGCCTGTCCTCTCTCTGCATCTCCATTACTTTCTCTAAAACCGAAAGTGGTTGGACTAGGCCAGTGAGGACGAACCTTTTAGAGCTTTCAATGATACAAACAGCCCACGGAAGCGCACCTCCCCTAGGTTCACCATGACTATAGACCACTTCTAAAGCCTGCTCCAGTTCTGCCGTTTGGAGATGTTCTTACTTCTGGGTTTTGTCAGGGGTCATCCATTACCTTATTCCACCCAGAGTGCTGCTCTTGTGGACCAGCGAGTAGGACCACTGAGCCAAAATCTTACAGGCCGTACTGTTGTCCGCAGTAGCTGGCTTCAGACTTGTCCTCCCCTTTGGTGGCTTTTCTTTGGCCAGAAGCATGGGGACAACTCTGGGAGCACCTGGGTGCCAGGGCAGCCACCTTTGTCCTTGGTGTAGGCCACATGGAAACTTTCTGGTGGCAGAAAGCAAGCATTGGTTTCCTACATGGCATTCAAAGCTTTGTGAAGCACAGGTGTGGAGACTGAGTGTGGCACAGGTGGGCATCTTGCCTAGATCACCAGCTTTCGCTGGCACACTCAGGTCAACTCTTCGTCTTCACATAGCGAGGCCACAGTAGTCCTCACCCACTGCAGAGGCTGGGGTTTCATAGTGGGAGAAGAGACAGACTTGAGGCACCGGGAGCTGAACCCTGGGCTTTTATACCAGGCAATGCCCTCAGCCTCCTGGAGCACTGGGATTGCAGCCCTGTTCCAGCACCCTTGGGTCCATGTCTTTTTCTTTTTTTTTAAATAAACTATCAAGATTCCATCAGGCAAGTCCCGTGCCCACCTGCCATTTACTGCATAGTTATTAGGAAGAGACCGGTCAGGGATGCTGGACTCGCCCCTTGCTGTCCCTGATCTACCAGCAGTGTCATAACACATTGGAGAGGGAGGTTCTCTGAGACAAAGGGCAAGAAATCCCCACAGCAACCATTTTTCATCCTGGCCAGCCCCTGCGCCTCCACACTTCACCCCATCCCTCAGATCTTCTGAGGCGAGGCTTTTTGAAGTCCGCCCTGAAACAGGGTCTGGTACAGAAGGCACATTCTTGCTTTCTCAGAAACTGAAGTTCTAGACGGTCACATATGGTCTCGTAAGAGCCAAGGAAGACAGGTTTTGTGTCAGAGTGTAGAATGACTGAGCAAGTGAAGTGTAGAGTTATTCTAGAACCTAAAGGGGCCATGTCTTAGTAGAGGGCATATTCTGGGCACAGGCCCACGTGTCAGGCCTGTTCACATGCGAGCACCAAATAAGAAAAGCAAAAGTAGAAAGAAAGGACGCTCAGCATGGCCTTCTCTCTGGGTCCATTCCCTCTGGAGAGGTAAGTGAAAGGCTGCAGTCAATGTAAACTTTGGCCTGAGGTGAAGTAGTACAATGTCTGAGGTTTGTTTCACAGTAATCTAGCACAGCTCATGATAGTGACATCTTGGAAGCAGCCAGTATGTCCCTCAACAGATGAACGGAAAGAGAAAATAGGGTGTTTACACACAGTGGAGTACTACTCTGCCATAAAGAAAGACACGGTTGAGTCATTTGAAGGAAAACAGATGCACCTTGAGACCGTAATTTTAAGTAAAATAAGTCAGGTGCACAAGCTTAAATACCACATGGCTTCTCTTATATAAGAAACCCAAAATCTAAATAAAGAGCAGAATAATAGAGATAATAGGAAACAGGGAGACAGACCTTTTGCAATAGGGAGATGGAGAAGAGGGGAGAAAGAGGATGGAAGAAAATTAACAAGTGACATGTGCGTGTACCAGTTCCCACGAATATGCAAACATGTACTGATACGGTTTTTTAAAAAAATATTCCAATGAGAGTGGAGATTTGCCAAAATGATTCTCAGAGGTAGTTCTGGTGATGCAATGTTCTTTTTTGAAGGTGCTCATTTTCCCACAGCTACAATTAGGTTTTAGAAAAGTAGACCTTAATAGTTGGTGAGCTGCCGAAGTACTAAGAGCCGCTGGCGCTGGTGGCCAAGGTTGATGGAAATTAACCTTTATCTCGATGCCATTAAATCACAGATCCAAAAGGAAAGTCCTTGGCCGGAAAGACTCTGAGGACGACCATTCGCGAAACCACTCTCCCTCGCCGCCAGTGACCCCCACGGGCACTGCGCCCAGCCTGGCCTCCCCCAAGCAAGTGGGCTCGATCCAGAGGAGCGTGCGCAAGAGTAGCACCAGCAGCGACAACTTCAAAGCCCTGCTGCTCAAGAAGGGCAGCCGCTCGGACACCAGCGCCCGCATGTCGGCGGCCGAGATGCTCAGGCACACGGACCCCCGCTTCCAGAGGTCCAGGTCGGAGCCTGCGCCCGACGCCCCCGAGAGCCCGTCCAGCTGCTCGCCCAGCAAGAGCCGCCGGGCGCAGGAGGAGTGGGCGCGGAGCGAGGGCCCCATGCCGCGCAGCCTGTCCTTCTCGGGGCCCCGCTATGGCCGCAGCCGGACGCCGCCCTCCGCAGCCAGCAGCCGCTACAGCGTGCGGAACCGCATCCAGAGCAGCCCGATGACCGTCATCTCCGAGGGCGAGGGCGAGGCCGTGGAGCCCGCGGACCCCAGGGTGCGCCGCGCCAAGCCGAGCGCACAGGACCGGGGCGACCAGGGCGGCGAGGCGACCGACGCCTCCCTGCCTCCTCGGACTCCTGGGCCGGCAGAGGAGGGCGAGGACCCCTCCACGCCCCTTGGCGGTGCTGGGCAGGAGCAGAATTAGGTCCAGAGCCCGGCTCCCCGGAGACAGCAGGGAGCCTGCCTGGCCCGGCTCGCCTGGGCACCCGCCGCGGGGCGTTTGGGACTCGCCGGCCACTCGCGCGTGGCTTCAAAGCAAGTAGAAGCTTCAACTTCTGAAAGTGCTTCCTGGGGAAGATTTTTTTCTCGCCGAAATGCTGGGTGTGAGTGTGTGGATTTGAACACTTTATTGTAACAGATAACACAGACAGTGTGCACAGAAGTAGCGCTCCGCCGGGCCCGCAGCCATGTGCTCTAGGTGGTTTGGAAGCGTGGTGTCCGCGGAGCTTAGGGCGCTCCGGGAGAAGCGGGAAGGCGTGAGCAGGAGGGGCAGCCGCCCGGGGCCTTCCGCGAGGCGGCCGGGGTGCAGGAAGCAGCTAGCGAAGGGCTAAGTGACTAAAGGGTTCAGGTACTTTTTTTCTGGGGGAAAAAAGGCTTTGTTTCTTTTTTGTAAAAAAAAAAAAAGACAAAACGCGGAAGTGGCGACGCCGTAACGCGGTGCCCGCTGCTGTGCAGCCACACACATGCAGCTTTTAGCCTGGCGTCTCCGGGTGTGGGCCGTTTGAATGACTATCCTGCTTGGCAGCCCCGCTCGGTGCCTGAGAGCCCGCTTGGAGGTACAGAGCGGGAGGCGGGGCGAGGAGGAGAGATACACTGCTGGGATTTGTTTCCTGCTTATTAAATAAAATTATTTTTCAGAAATTTGAAGAATTGCACTACAACACTGTGGGCAAAGCTTTTCCAAGAGTCTTTCTTCCTTTTTTTTTTTTTTTGACTAGAGTTTAAACTTCCACTTGGCAATTTCTTACCACTTGCCGTGTCAACATTTGCTAACTTTTGGATACCCTTTCGGTCACACCAAAGAAAAAAAAAAAAAACTATAGCTATGTTTTTCCTTGAACTGCCTGCAGTATCATGTCCTAATTTAGAAAGGTTTACCAAAATCTGTTATTATTATCTTATGTGGAAGAAAATGCTGAGTAGCTCTTGTTAGTCAAATAAACTGATTAAACGTTTGTAGGGCTCGGCTATTAATTAGCCCTGGGAAATGAGTTTTTAGATTAAAAAGATTTTCTTTTTGCAGTATTTGGTTTGCGTGTTTTTGTATTTGTTTATCAGTGAGTTGCTAACTACCGTCTAATCTTCTCCAGTCCAAGTTTCTGTACTTTTCAACATGAGAGAGAAGTGCGTATTTATTTTAACATAAGATTTTTATGATTCTCACTCGGTCCCATCTTCTGTGTACTTAAAGCAGAGGGTTCTGTCGTCATCAGAAGGAGCAGACTGTGAGCCTTAGTGTAGACAGCTTTTGTCCATTGCCTCTGTTTTTCTCTGAAAATGTCATCTGAATGTTGCACTGCACGAGTCAATTCACCATAGAGCTTATGAAATAAAGCTTCTGATAAATTAAGTCTCTTTTCCTTCTCTGAGGAAAACAAAACCTTTACATAGGACCTGATTGGCCAGACAGAGGGACGCAGGCCTGTAATCCCAGTACCCAGCAGGCTGAGGCAGAAGAATCTCTGTAAGTGCAAGGCCAGCCTGGGCTCCATGGTGCATTCAGGACAAGCCTGAACTACATAGCAAGACCTTGTCTCAGAAAAAAGCCATGGGACCTGACGTATGACCGCAGGTACAAGAGCTTTTAACCTTCAGGGTAATTGTCTACAACATGGGGCACACAGATCACTTCTTGTGAATTTTAGAAAAGTAGTGATGGCTTTTGAATATGAAGTCTTCCCATAGCTACCTTAAAAAATTAGAATGTATATGGCTATCAGAAATTTTGAACTTAATATATACGTCATTTATTTGAAGTTTAGATAAGCAACATTAAAACTAATGATAAAAACCATTAATATACCCCTTCTTAAAGATATGTTTTTAAATTTGCATTGAATAAAACAGTTGTAAAGTCACTATCTGAAACTTCCTTTTGTTTGTGCATGTGTTCTCTGAATCGTGAGATAGGCCTTTTCATACAGACTTGTGGAGTGCATTGCTACATCCAGACAGATCAGCGGAAAGCAGCAGGTGCCTGTGGGAGCTGTGAAGCTGGCAGAGAGGAGAAAGAACTCACAGGTGCTCACCGCTACCATCTGAAAGCTCACACAGAAAAACAACTCTAAATACTGTCCTAAAGGGCTCAGCGTAAAATACAGATAGTAGTGACCGGTGGTTCAGATGCTGCGACGTGCGGAAAGATAGGACAGTCACAGGCATGGGTGAAAATGAGAAGCAAGGATCTCTATTCACGCCCTAGCTACACTGTAGCCTCCGCGTGGCGTTTTGTTCCTCTGTGGGGCTCACTTCTGTCAGTGGAGTGGAACTTGCTCAGAGCTCCCACGAGTAGCCTGGGCAGCCCTTCTAACCAGATAGTCTCAGGTGCCCCCGGACTGCATTATTTCCACTTGGTTTTTTTTTCTAAGAGTTGGAAGAGAAACAAAAGAACACTGGGCTGCCAATCGGAAACAGAGTCAGCTTTGGTCTGATCGCTGTCCTCCTGTTGCTGAGGAAGATTGAAATCTGTTGCTGCTCTTGTGAGGCTCAGTGTACATGTGTCCCTCCATGTCTGTGGAGTCCGCGCCTACGATGCAACTCACTGCAGATCCAAAATAGCTGGGAAAAATGCATCTGTGCTGAACACGGGGGCTTGCTTGTCATTCCATAAGCAATACACAGTGACTGCTTTTCACAGAGGTGGTTTAGAGGCGATTTAAAGTATGTAGGAGGATATGTAGGTTACATACAAATACTATCGTTTTACTGTTGTGTTTATGTGGGAAGTCACAATGGCAAAGACACGGAGGCATTTCTGTGTCTCCGTCTAATTCCCCACCACAGGTGTCACCTCTGCTCTGTGGTATGCTGGGAGGACAAGTAAACTACTGGATTGACCGTTGTGGGTTTTCAGCCTACCTGTGAATAGTTACTTATATGGCTGAGATTCCACCATGAAATAACCACAGAAGCATAATTTGATAAATATCAGGCTATGGGGTGGGGAGGGAAGGTCTTTTGAATAAAGCATGGACGTGATTCTCAAGGTTCAATTTCCTTAAGCTAGTTACTATAAGGCAGTTTCTTTCAATGAGTGCTGTACTCTACCTTCTTAACAGACCAGCCCTTATTTGCAGACCAAGGTCCAGAGCGATCTGTAGTGATTTGTTTAGCAATGAGAAAAAGTCCTTTCCTAGGAGGCTATCATGGAAGGGCTTAAACCTAATGAGGAAGATGCACAGTGACTATCCTGACAAATCTTTGTCCACACTGGAGTCTGTGCAAATGGCAAGGAGTCCCAGCTTGGGCGAACCCGACCCCATCACTGCGGACTGGCTGAGTCATTCGGGCTGGCAGTGTACCAACCAAACCGCCACACCTCGTAGGCTCCCCTGCGGTCACCAGGACCAGGGGCTTTGGTCAGCTTTGGTCTGCAAGACATGGGCAGTATTCTGGAAATGTCCAAGAACCTTTGTTTCCTTATACAGATGCTGTCTCTTCCCCTTCTGGCTTCTCCCGTGTCTCCCTCAAATGGAAGGGAGGCTGGGGAAGGAATGTTTCACGGACTGAGGAGAATGGAAGCCATGTGTCCTGGATGGCAGAGGAGAAATGAGCCTGACTGTGGACAGATCCAGTCACAGCCCCAGCCCTGGGCGGCCTAGCCAGACACAGTGGATAAGCCACATCCATAGCTGAGCCACAGAACCCATCGCCCCTGAGCTGGTCCCTAGGGAGGGCTCCGTGGACCCAGCTAAGACTCCAGGTGAGGAGGGTTTTACCAAGCAGGACAGTCGGCAGAACAGAGACCCTCCAAGTGGAGGGGATACGGGGAGCAAAGGCACAGAGGCTGAGAGTTAGAGGAAGCCGGGCAGCTGACCCGAGGCCTCAGGAGAACACAGTGGAGCAGGAGACTGGAAAGGTGATCCGGCGAGAGCCTGGGAAAGGCCTGGGCTGGGATTCCAAGGAATTTGGGTTTTGTTTTGCAGTGTTGGGAAATGAAGGCTTTTAAGGAGGGAAGTGATGTGAGGAGTCATGCTTCTTAGCCTCTTCTCAAGCTATGCTGTCTCTCAGTGACCTCATATATATTCCTTCTTAGGGAATATATATATATATATATTAGGGAATGCATCTGCATAAGGAAATACCTTAGGGAATATATATATATATTCCTTCTTAACCTCTGTCCTGATTTCCTTCACAGTGCATATGACTTACTTCTTGCCCCCACCATGTAAGGTGGCTTAACTCCTCGCACTGTTCAGGATCAGCTGCCCTGGATGTATAGTGTCTCTTCTTGCTTGCTGGTCCCCGGACACAGGTATCCAAAATACCCAGGTGGCAGCAGTAGATTTCATAGTTCCTTGCGACCTTGCTATGTATGTCCCATTCTGCAGGAGTCAGAATGGGCCGTGGGCCAGTGCTGGGAGTCTGTATGTGTTTTACCTCTCCTCTGTTACAAGATGAATGACCCTAGCACACCACCCAAAACTCTGCCTTTTTCTTTCTTTTTTTTTTTTTGTCTTTTTGAGACAGGGTCTCACTATGCAGTTCAGGCTGGCCTTGAGCTCACTTGTAGCCCAGGTTGGTCTTGAACTCACAACGATCCTCCTCCCTCAGCCTCCTGAGTGCTGGGATTACAGGCGTGCGCCACCAGGCCTGGCTTTTTTAAAAAAAGATGGTTTCACTCTATAGTTCAGGCTGGGCTTGAACTCACTTTGTAGCCCAGGCTGCCCTCAAACTCATAGCCATCCTCCTGCCGCAAGTGCTCGGACTCAGGCACGCTCCACCATGCCTGGCATCTGCCTTTTCCTTGCAGAAAGACTACAAGAGATTTTTTTTTTTTTCAGTTATCTTTCAATATCATCCCTCAATGAGTAAGGGTCATTTTCTTCCTTTTTTTCTCAGTACTTGTTTGTAGTACAGATGCTTACATGCCTTATGGGGAACCGGTACATGTACATAATACATCTTAATTCCTTTTTTCCCATCTCCTTTCCCTTCCTGTCCTCCCGCCCCCAGAGAAGGTCACTGTAGTTCGGATAAAGCAGGCCCAACTTTCTTCCTCTTCCTTCAGTGGATCACACAGTTTCTCCTGACACCACAGGGAGGGAGGGAAGTGGGTGCAACCGTGGGGACATGGTGGTTGGGCCGCTGCTCCCACGGCTTGCCAATGTTTTCCGGTCCTGTTGAGACTGCTCCTGATGTGTCAATTCCATCTTACGATAGACTCCTGCCAACGGGATGCTTTGGCGGTTCTGATAGAGGACTCAGATTAAGTGGGCGGTTCTGAGCACACCCTCATTGTGGCATCTCATTATTCCGTCTCTACTGGGACCTAGCATGCCACTCTCTGCGGCAGTTAGCACAGCATCACCTCAGGAAACCCCTCTGGGTCTTGTTAGATACTTCACACCATACATTTTCTCACCACTGACATCTCCAATACTACAGGGTCTGCGGGGTCACATGATTTAAGCCGCCAAACTCTTTTACAGCTCTCACTTCTAGGTTTCCTGTTACTGATTGATTTTTCTCTACTTGTGAATCATTATCTTTCTGGGTTTTCTTTTTTCTGTGTCTAATTATTTTTTATTGCATGTTAGGAATTGTGGACTTTATTTTGTTTGTTGATGGATTTGGTTGCATTCCTTAAATAGCACTGGTCTTTGTTCTGGTTAGAGTTCTCCTTTCAAAGCTTGAGATATGTATACCCTTCCTCCTCTCATCCACTCTTCCTGACAAATTCTGCCCATCTTAGTCTCCTCTGATCTCTGCCTTCTCAACGCAGCAGGACCAAGAGTCTTTCCTTGACTTCCTCTCCCTGCTTTGCCAACTAGTAACTGCCTCTGAGCCATTAGTGTGGGAGACTGGTGGGTGCATCTGCCTTTCCTGTTCTCTCAGAGATCACACTCTTGTACTCTGCACTCTCGGTGTCTGCAAACCACCATGATACATATCTTGTCTGGGTTTTCAGTTGTTAAAATAGAAGGGTAAATTGAGTTCCTGTTTTACCATCATAGGCAGAAGATGTTCCCCGCGAGGTCCTTGAAAACCACTGCTCCAGGCCCTCCTGCTTGGGGCAGATG